CTCATATACGGGTTCCTTGGAAGGCCGCTTTAGTTAGTTTGGATCCTTTGATTCAGTTATTATGGGTTTCACGATATTTGGGGGGCAGGCAACGACAGAGTTGGTCGCCAGCAGATGTTCGAGGAGTTCTTGCAATGCTCCGGCGACTGGCTGCAGAGTTCCATCTATGCTAATTCCCAGTCCTTTGAGGGGAGCAAGATGCGGGGAGTTTACAAGCTCATGTCGCGGGAGGACGTAGTCCAAGGGTGTATTTTTTTTATTTTTTTTATATGATGAGTTGCCTATATAAAAGCCTTAAAATATACTACTAATAATAGAAACCCCAGGAGTCTTCGAATTCCCCGAATGTTCTATATACCCCAAATATACCCTGGAAACCTGAAGCCCAGAAGAGAATCTATGAACACCGATATGCAGGATCTGCTCGTCAAGTATCACGACGACTGGGAAGCCGTCGACGAGATCATTGCCACCAAGGCATCCCCGATATGATATCCCCCCCAACCCTGAACCCTAAAGCCTTTTATTACTAACTAATTATAAATCCTAAACCAATTTTATAATAATAGTTGAATTCGATCCCATATATAGACCCTAAACTTGGAACCCCGCGAATAGTAATAATATATAGTAAGTATACAACCCTCACCCCGCATTGCAGGAGAAAGAAGGACAGTGGACTGTCAACCCAGACAGGGAGGTGGGAAATTAGTACTTGTGGGATTGTGTTGCCCGAGTGCTGCAAGCGCGATATGCATGACTTGACTAGCCACCTAGGGGCAGAGACTCTACAGCTGTTGGGATTCGACGGCTTCAATCATGCAGACGGGTGTTGAGAACACACTGACAGTCTCCAAGACTGGCACGGTGGACAATGCTGCAGCGACAGGATTGATGCGATCGGGCTATCTTTGAAAGCATAATACAGATGTTCTTTTATGTTCCGATTGATAGAGTTAAACCCTAAACCCTAAACCCTAAACCCCTAAACCCTAAACCCCTAAACACACACCCTAAACCCTATAAGCCCTAGAAACCCTAAAAGCCCCATCCAAGCTTAAGGTCGAAACCATTCGACCTTGGCCCATCCAGCTCCTCCCTGTGCATGCAGCAAAGCGCCGAAGCACCTAGCGGTGCATTCGAGGGCAAGGGCAAGAAGGGCAAAAACAAGGGAAAGGGCAAGGGCAAGCAGGATGGAAAGGGCAAGGGCTCGGAGAACGACGACCCGCCACCCCCACCGAAAGTCAAGACCGCCCTCCAGGAGGCAAAGAGTGTCCCCAGCCATCGAAGTAGTCGCTAGTTGTTTGTGTTTTTTTAGATATAGACTCGAAGCTTTTAAAGGGTTTAGGGTTTAGGGTTGGGATTTGGGTTTAGGGTTTGATTAGTATAGGTTAATAACCTCATGTGCCCAGGCTTTGCAGTCTGGTGCATCGTCCCTGCTCGAGTGCAAGTCTTGGGACAAGGATTTGATGAACTCCAACACGTAGGGGCCCCAGAATCTCGGGATAACATACATAGACGGCTCAACTAATTCCTAAACCCATATATATTATAAACCCTAAACCCTATTTTACAATAATCGGTCTCATGTTTGCGAGGCCTGTGCATCTCAAGGATGCGGTCCTAGAGGATGTGCAAAAGTTCGTGGACAAGTTGGAGTCCGCTCGGAGCGGGGTGGAGGCTCACAATATAGTGTATTTCGGTATTAAATTAGTGGCCTAAAACCCCTGTCATCCGAAACCCTGCAACCCTACAATCAAGCATTAAATAACCTGAGAGAATCGCAAAATCCTGCTAGTGGGGCTCCCGTACTTGCAGTGCAATTCAAGACCTGTACAATTGCAAGTATCGTATATGTACTTATGCATCAATTAATATTGTAATCTCACCCCAAGTAAGAAGATGAATACAGCTAAAGCACAGTGCAATCGAAACCTGGCCATATCGACCTAAACCTATAGCTTATGTATCAATCAATATATATATATATGTTTATAATGTAATTATGTTTTTGTGTGGCTATATAATATTCTATATAATCCGAAAACCGTACTAATTTATAATACCTAGTTCTGAAACCCGGGGGCATCTGATGATTCCCGATGACAAACCCAAACAGGATCGACTACACCTGCCGGTAACAAGACACCATAAAATCCTGGTCTACCTATCGTTTCTGTGTGTCTGTTACATACTTTATATAATATAATCACAAACCCTGAACCCTAATAAACCTTAAATCCTAAACCGCAAAAACCTGCTAGCTATTCCATATTGTTTGCATATATTTTGTAAAGCCCTAAATAAGTTAAACCCTAAACCTTAAACCCCTAAACCCTTAAAGCCAACTGGGCAGGCTGCCATCGCCTTGGGGAAGACCGAAGACGACCTGCGGCTGGCCACGGGCATGCTTCTGTCCACTATCGCAGATTACAAAATCGCATCGAAGCATGCCAAGAAGTTGAAAAGTACATCCACCAGCAAAGCTGAGGCCAAGAATAAGCCTAAGAAGGCCTAGTTGTGTCGCAGCTGTGAGCTCATGAGGATCCTGCCTAGAAACCCGGATTCTATCTTACTCCACCCAGAGCATAAAACCCTGTATGCACTTAGGGGCTGTATATGTTGGCATGGATCAAGCACAGCAGGAGCTTCAGCTTTGTGCGCGCAATAGCCTAGTTTTGAACCTGGTGCTGCTGCCCCTAGGCCTTATGCTGAACTGCATTTTAACATTAGTGCAACTTCGGTGGGATGTTAGGTGCAGCTGTGCTGGGCCCGAGGCCTCAAGCTCGATGGGGACTTCAATACGAGCTTCGAAACGCCGCGATAAAAGAGCTAGTGCAAGTCCAATCCAACTTGGATGCAAATAAGCCTTGATCCTAAAGCCTGTAACCTATAAGCCCATAAACCCGAAATCGAATAATTCAAGAAATCCCCAACCACACGACTTCCAACCCTAGACCCTATAAACCGATCGAAATCAAAGATGAGTTGTGCAGAGATCCCCAGCCCGAGGTAACTTTACATGTTTCGTGTCAACCCTGCTTCGCAGCAACATTCGAAGGTAACCGTTGTTTACCCTTGTAGCTTCTATCTACCCCCTAGCTATACCCTAAAGTTGAAAATTGAGCTCAACCCGAATAATAAGAAACCCTACACCCTAGATAGGCCTAAAATACGAAACCCTGTATAGCTAGTCTGACGAGAAGCTCCAGGTGGCAGTGGATTTAGGGGTTTTAGGGTTGGGGGTTTAGGAGTGTGGGGTTGGGGTTTAAGGTTTATGGGTTTATTCATGGAGCCTCCGCCCATCGCAGGCGGGCAGAGCTGTGCCTTTGCCGAGCACTTGATTTCAAGCTTGGGTCGAGGGGAAACTCGGCTACACATACTTCTGTCTATCTTATCTGCAAGATTTACTTTCCAGTACTGTATATATTTTATAATTAATAGATGCAGTTAAAAATCCAATCCAATATTATATTAGCCTATATATATACATACATACATATATATATGTACTATACTATATTATTGCATTGGATTGGAATTTTAACTGCATCTTAAAACGACTTAACTACAGTTGCTGGAAAGTACGTAATATATAAGGTGGCATCATACCCGCCGTGGGATTTCGAAGTCGTGCATCTAGACCCCTAAACCCCGAAACCCTTAATTGCTCAAGGGGCTAGGGCCGGCTTGTCAGGACTTGGAGCTGACGTCTTGGGGGTTTAGGGTTTAGGGGTTTAGGGTTTAAAGGTTTAGAAATTTGGGGTTTAGGGGTTTGGGGTGTAGGCTGTATAGGGATTCAAGGTTATGGTTTAGGTGTTTAATCTTTAGGGGTAGGGTTTGGGGTAGTTCGGGTTTACTAGATCTTTAAGCGCTAGCGAACCTAACCCCTACGTATATGTATACAACACCTACGGTGCTGCAACAGAATAGCTAGAATCCCCGATCCCAGCCAAGGCAACAAGTTGTCAAGAACTACAAGCAGCGGCCGAAGCATGTGTCAAGGAGCCGTGTTTAATTTTATGTACTGGTGGTGTAGACCGGTGTTGTAATAATACTATGTAATAACTTGCATCCGAAGACCTAAACCCTAAACTTTGAACCCCAAACCCTAAACCCTCAACCCTAAAGAACCCTGAACCCCAAACCCTAAACCCTCAACCCAAAAAACCCCTCTGCTAATAACATGTGCTTTCGAGTACTTTATGGTGGATATGAGAATCAAATGAGTCAAGGCGGAAGAGTAAACCATGCATGTACATCTCTCGTCACACTAGCCATCACCCCACAGGAGAATCCGAACTCCTCCGATCTGACCTACCGCATCGCTGGCATTGGAACCTGGGGTCGTCATCCTGCCAATGCTGAAAGAGACCTGTACCGGGTTTTGGGGCTACCGCTCGTGCCATCGCAAGCACCAGCATTCAAAGTTGGAAATTAAGCTATTTCTTCTGTAATTGAACCGAGTTAGGGTACCAACCCCACAAATAAAATGCAGCAACACGTGTTTCTTGTCGACTAGAATCACAGAATACGTCATAAAGTTGATTGGAGATCTTTCATTTATAATTTGTATATACTTAGCTTTAAAACATACTAAAGATCGATCCCGAAATTAAGGACATGTACACCGTACGGGTGCCGGTTCGTGATCGGCGATCTCAAGTCCCCAATGCGAGAACCACCATGAGGGTGCCGATTATTTTGGTGCATGAACTGTTGGAGTACATCTCGGCATCCCGACTGATCGTATCGATGTATTATATTACTCAGTGTACTGAGTAATCTGTCTAATTTTCGTATATATATATATACATATATATATTTATTTATTTATACAAGACTACATATATAGTACATATATACATATATATATACACACATACCATGTTACGTATACATGTACACATATATGATATCTATTTATATATGTGTGTGTGTACATGTCGTGGCACACAGGATTTGTTCACGGTCCTCTCGACTCATCAAACAAATCTGAGGTTCAGCACGGGATTCGGTTCAGTACAGAGACATTGGCCGAATTTTGGGACCACTGGAAGAAGAACTTCCCTTACCACCCCGCTGCTGAGAAGCAACCGCCGCATCACACTCCGATAGGCTTCTCTGGGGATGACACATCCTATTCCCTGGCTGGAGCGAAAGCTATCGTGATGTTAGTCTCCTATGTCCTTCACGAGCCGGGCCCAAAGCAGCTATCGCGATTTCCTTGGTGTATTTTGCGGTACGAACTATCTTTGGGCCCTGCAACCCTGGACCCCATCATGAAAATTTGTGCTTGGTCTCTCAACGTGGCATATTTTGGACACTGGCCTCGCATCGGGCCCCATGGTCGGCCATTACAAGGAAGGAGAGCGGAAAAGGCTGGACAAAAATTCGATTCTGGCCAAGCTTGGGCATTGACAGAGGTTCGCGGCGACTGGAAGTGGCACGTGGAGCTGTTCCGACTCAAGAGACACTATCAGTCAAACAACATTTGTTGTTTTTGCGAAGCGTCCAAGAAAGGCCAGCACAAGCCACAGACTTGCAATTCATCATAACTTTTTTTCAATATTCGGTATATAGTTCGTTCGCGATATAATTTGATGTCCAAGTTGAGGTTCGACCGGTTCGAGAACTTCGATTCGACACCTCGCTTTACAGCGAGCCAGTTCTTCGATGTGTCATTGGGTCGGTACGTGTGCCCGCTGGTGGCCGTTGCTGGCTTCACACCGGACATGATCACATTTTGCAGCATGCACGTTTCCAACCTCGGCTTGTTGCAGTGGGTCAACGGTGGAGTGCTGATTGGATTACTGGACAGAGGGATTTTTGGCCACCCTCGCCACGTCCCCGTTCGCGAACGGCTGAGGATCGCGACAGTGCGTTTCAGAGAGTGGTGTGCCCTGCATGCGATCCCACAGTCGCAGCCGATTATCACACAGGGCATGCTCTTTCGCGACCCACCGGAGCTTACTTTGAAAGCTTATCATTCCAGGATTTTTGCGGCTTTCCTGACGGCCGTATGTCATGGCTTGATCAATGACAGCTCGACGAACGACGACGAGGAGCTGTTGTTGTGGCTTGAGGTTTGCCGGAGTATCTCGCAGTGGCATTCAAAGTTAGAAGATTGCAACCGATACTTGCTACCAACGGATGCCGCCGAGCTCACAAGCATCGCACATCGCTTCTTGAGGGTGTACAAGGCCCTAGCACACCGTGCTGCCCTGTCTGCCTCGCAGTGCTTTCCCTTGCGACCTAAACACCATGCATTTTTGGAATTGAATGCTATGATGGCTCGGCAGCTTTATTGCTGTCGTTACAA